AAAAAAAATCTATAAATGCTCAAAAATAAACTATTGGTCAAAAATGATTTGTGACCACCCTTATGACAGTGGCTAGGTAGGTGGCCCATTACTGCATAACTAACATCCCTTATTCACATCTCAGAGATTATGCCCCTACACTGGTGCAAATACAACCATGTCCAGTTCCCTCCGCCCCCTTCCCTCTTGCCCCTGTTCAGCCTGAATGTTTCTCCAGTGCCTGCAACTTTTCCCGCTGTTTGTCCAGCGCCAGGCACACCGGGACTTGCGGCCGCTCCTGAACTGCAGCCATTGGGGCAGCAGCTCCCGCCCAGGGGAAGCCTCTGTCGGTTGTATTGTGCAGCGGGAGCTGGGCTGTGACTGCCAAGGGGCGGGAACCTGCCGCTCCTGGTGCCGGGGCGGAGGCTGGGCTGCGGAGCTGGCAGGTCACAGCGGGGGAAGGCGGCTGTGCCCTAGCCAGGCTCCCCCTTTCCCACTCCCTGCACTTCACGGTGAGCCGCTGCACAGAGGGAGCCCGGCCCACCTGGAAGGCGGATCTTGTCCCCGCGGAGGCTCCCTTCTCCTCTTCCGGCTGCGACTGCTGGGCAGGGGCGGTGTCCGCTCTCTGGCTCCTCTCGCCAGGCTCTTCCTCTGGCTGCAGCGCCACCTGCTCCCCGTCGGCTCCCTCCTTCCTCTCCGGGGGAGTGGACGGCACCACCTGAGGCCTGGCCGCCTCGGGCAAGGTGAAGAGGTGCCGGTCCAACCCGGGCGAGCAGATGGCTGAGCCTGCCCGGCTGAAGTGGGCTGAGGGCCTCTGCGGGCGGCTGCCCTGCAGTGTTCAGAGCCCCATCAAGCACTGCACTGAGGCGTCCACCCGCGGGTTCACCTGCACCCCCACCTCCTTGGTGTTGGCCTTGCGGAGCCGGGGGGTGAGGCCCAGGCTCACTTGGGACAGCAGCACCTTGAGCTGCGCCCCCATGTAGCTGTCCAGGTAGTCAGCGGGCTCCGGGGCAGCTGCTGTGGAGGGAGTGGTGGGAACGCCCGGGGAAGGGCTGCTGCTGCCTTTGCTTTGCTTCCACTTGGGCTGCTTCTTTTTGGGGCCCACCAAGCCCCCTCCCTGGCTGGATGTGAAGATGCCACCATACCCCTGGTACACACTGTAGAGGGGATAGATAAATCTCTCCGTGGCCTACTAATGCTTCTCTTCTCCCCTCCCCTTTAAGCTAGAGAGAGACTGCCTGGGCAGCACCGCGACCCCCACTTGTATCCTGCAAGGAACTGTTGGTCAGGGCCGGCTCCAGGGTTTGGGCCGCCCCAAGCAGCTCCCTCCCCCCCCCCCCCC